CTTAGCGCCCTGAGATCTGCAACTGCTGACCGCTCGGCCGCCGTGGCAGCGCCCCTCGCGGCCACCGAAACCCGTCGGAACACCTCCCTCCTCAGCGCGAGATCGCACTGGGCTGCTCAGCTGATAGCCGGCCGCCAGTGCTCTCGACGGCATGCGTGCTCTGCCAACCCAACGTGGCGCAGCGAGCGACGCACCAGCCGCGAAGGCATGGGACTTACACTTCCACGTGGCGGGACGGGAGCACCGCTTTTTGCTGCTTCCCCGAGAGAGGAATTGGGTGGAGAGGCAGGGGAGAAAAGAGACGGCCCAAAATGGCGCAACAACGAGACCGTGAAGCCGAAGTACCCCCAATCAAACTGAACTACGGAAGAAAACGTGCTCGCTACTGCTAAGCCCTGCCTCTCCAGAGCCTCCGGAAGCCAACGCCTTGGGAGGGGTTATGACTTCCAGGAAATTGCAGCTCTTCGTTGAGATGGGGCGAGCACGTTGCTACGCAGGGAGGCCAGCCTTTCAGAGGGCAGGCGCTCAGCGCTTCGATGAGGGGTCAACGAGGACTGGGGGGCCCTCCTGCTGGATCCCCTCGCGCTCTGCACAATCGCAACGAGAGCCCCGGCGACGGAGGGGAGGCAATCCTGCATTGATGAATTACCTCAAGGAGGCCCAAGCCGCTCGGCCTCGCGCGCCGTGAGTGCCGCGCTCCAGGCGGTCCGCGTTTCCTTCGCACGTCTGAACTGTCTGAACTGTGGTGGGAGGTCTCAAAAGCTCGCATCAACACAATGATGGTACGTGCCAGCGTGAACCCCAAGCAGTAAGTTATTGCTCTGCGGATGTGTGAACTAGGCGATGCAAGCGACGTGGTGCAAGCCATGCCGCGTCGATGTAAGCTATGCGGTGTAAGCTATGTGGTGCAAACCACTCTGCTGAACCTGAAGTCGTCATCTCCACTGCTCGCGCAAACATCCCACCCACCCACCCGCAACTTGGTTTGCAAAACCTCTTAAGACCGACTACGACGACACCGACGACAACGACTACGACGACACCGACGACGTCTCCGACGACTTCGACGACGACAACGACGCCGACGCCGACGAAGACGACGACGACGCCAACGAAGGCGAAGACGAGGGAGGAGGAAGGACGACGACGGCGACAACGACGACAACGACGACAACGACGAGGGAGGAGGGAGGACGGCGACGACGCGAACGACGAAGAAGGAGGAAGGACGGCGAGGCCGACGACGACAACGACGAGGGAGAAGGGAAGACGACGACGACAACGACGACGACGACACGACGACGGCGACGAAATAGGAGGGACGACGACGAGACGCCGACGACGGACGACGACGACGACGACGACGACGAGGGAGGAGGAGGAAGGACGACCACGGCGACAACGACGACGGAAACGACCACGACGCCAAAGAGGACGATGACGACGAACACGAGGAAAGACAATGGACGACGTAGGCGACGACGACGAAGACGCGGGAGGAGGGAGGACGACCACGGCGACGACGACGACGACGACGACGACACAAGAGCGCGCGCGCACGCTTTTGTTGAAACTCCGTGTTGCGAAACCGTTGGTTTCTGTAGGTTTTTTGGACACACGATTTTGACATGCTTCCGAAACCGATGGGTTTTGAAGGATTTCGGCATACGCGCTCGACGACGCGCGCGTCTGCACTTGGCCCTATCTTTTTGCAAAGGATTCTCGCGACGGCACACGCGCAAGGGCGTTCGACAGATTTCGACATGCGCGCGCGCGAAGCCCGTTGGGTAGCATTTTGTGAAAATCCACCGACCCTGTCGGCGTGTGCGAGGGGCTTGGCTGTTCGAGTCGTCGTCTCCGTCGGTCGTCGCCTCCGTCGTCCCCTTTCCCTGCATCTGCCTTCTCAAGCTCGTGAGCGAGGGAAAAATCTAGCAGTGTCGTAATCGAGTCGGAGGGAAGCCCCTTCCCTTCGATCCCTTCCCCAGGGGGGAGGGGGTCCCGGAGGGGGGTCCCAGGAGGGGTGGGGGGGGGGGGTCCCGGGGAGGGGTGGGGGGGCAGATTCGTTTTCCCTCGGGCGGCCTAGAAACTTCGAAAACACTCCAAATGAGGTCCGAATGCCCAAGATGGCCCCCGAGACGGCCCAAGAGGGCCCCGAGTCGCCCAAACATCGGCCGAAAACGCCCACGATAGCCCCAAAACCGTCCAAGAAGCCTCCAAAACGTCCCAGGCCCACTCCAAGAGACCCCCAGGAAGCCCCAAGAGGCCCCCACGAGGCTTCCAAGCGGCCCCTGAGAGCTTCCCAAGAGGCCCACAAACTACCCCCAAGAGGCCCCCAAGAGCGCTCGTCGTCGTCGTCGTCGTCGTCGTCGTCGTCGTCGTCGCCATTCAGGGTCGGCGGCACCGGCCGTAAGGCCTTCGCAATCTTGATAAACTGAAGGTTGTCTGAAGATTTCGCAAGAGCTCGCGCGTAAGCTGTGTTAGCAAATCAACGTTGCGAAAACATGTGTTTTTTTTGTATGCTGTTTGGAAACTCGCTTGCGAAATCCTTCCGGTACCGAAGGTTTTTGAAGGATTTTGGCACGCGCGCGCGACGACGCGCGCGTGTGCACTTCGTCCAATGTTTTGCAAGGGATTCGTGACAAAGTGTTTTGTTAGACCAAACAATGTCAGCGCATAGTGTTTTTTCAAGGGACCCTCAGGAGGGGGGATACTGGCCCCCTGGGGATAGTATAAATTCATATTCAGGATGGACATGTGGTCAGAATCATAAATGATTTACATACCCGAAAGGGGGGGCGATAACGCCGGGGGGGGGGTAGATCCTTTTTTTATAAAAAAGAATAATCTATGTGGTGTAAGTTATTTGAACAAACGAGTTGACACATCCCGCGCTCTTGCAAATATCCCACCCACCCACCCGTAACTTGGCTTGCTAAACCCAGTAAGTGGCGATTGCGATGCATGCTCGGCGTTGGCTGGTGCGTCTCTGCGGCCGCTCCAACCCAAACGCGCACGCGCAGCGGCCGGCTGGTTTGGCGCGACCGACGCGGCCGCGGAGGCGCTGATCGTTGGGCACATCCCAGCGGGCACTTCGTTGCGTGTCGGCGACTTGGGCGGGCGCGGTATCATGGAAACGTCAACAACGGCAGACGTTGCGGGCGAGTCTCCAACGACTTCGACGTCCACGACAACGACGACGACGACGACGACAACAACACCGACGACGACGACAACAACACCGACGACGACGACGACGACGCCGACGCTGACGACGACGACGACGACGCCAACGACGACGACGACACCGCCGACGACGACAACGACGACGCCGACGACGACGACGGCGACGACTTTGACGACGGCGACGACGAAAACGACGACGACGACGACAACGTCGCCAACGACGACGACGACGACGAGGTGGTGGTGGAACTCTGCGTCTTGTCGGGACCGACGTGCAGTGGCCCTTATAGTGGGCCGGCTCGGACCCGGCCTGTAGCCGGGTGGAGGGAGGTGTGGGGGGCCCGAACCGTTGTCAGGCCCATCCGAAGATTTGTTGGGCCCAGGCAGACCCGCTCCTTGGCAAGTCCGCCCGAGCCCCGCAGGGGCTCTCCTGCATGGGGCGGCCCTCTGGGGCTCCCCACGCGAGTCGCAGGTCAAGGCCCCTAGAGGCCCACGGTCTACGGCGCTCTTGCCGTATCCGCTGGGCCCTGGCCTTATTCTCGGCAATCCTGCGCCGCTGGGTGTCGGTAAGAGGGGGGCGAGGCGGGAGAGGCGGAGGCGGAGGCGGAGTCGGGGACAGGAGGAGGGGAGAGAGTCCGATCACCTCAGCAGCGTAGGTCTCCTCTTCAGTGGGGGCCTGGCTGTCTTCAGGATCCTGGGAGGGGCCTGGGGGGTCCTGGCCAGGCGGGCCCGGGGCCTCAAATCGGCCCTTCTCAGGGTCAGGCCTGCTGCGGCCCTTTCCCTTCGCAAAATCAGGGGCCCACTCCCTGGCCCCGTCCTCTGACTCTGGGATCTCTGAGACATAAAAATCCGCCAGGCCCTGCGCGAGGAGTTGGTGAGACTGGGATTCATCCCTGGGCTCGTCCGGGAGCGCGGCATCGAGGGCCGATTCAAGCGTCTCCAGAATGCTCTCGGCGATGCTGCGACAGAGGCCCGGGGGGTAGACCTTCTTCCGCGCAGTGCGGAAGGCCCTGGACCCCGCCTCGCGCCCCAGGAGAGTGGCGTGGGCCGCTTGCCCGTGGGGGCATTTTCCTCCCCCAGGCGTCGCCGTCAGGCGCCTGTGCAGCCCCGCCATGCGGAGCCCAAAAATTCTGGTCGGGGCCCTGCTCACTTGTCCGTGCTCGCACTGGTCGAAGTCGGTGGTCGTGGTGCACGGCGCCGACAGCAGCGCGAGCCACGGCTCCCATGTCCATGATGTGACGGCCGCCAGCCGCCAGCTGCGCGGGATGGGGTGCTCTGACCACCCTGCCGTGCCTGCCACCAGGTGCGCCGCCAGGAGGAGCACCATGGACTGCATCAGGGCGTTCCCCACGGCCAGCTGGATCCTCTGCCGTGGCGCAGCATGCGCCACTCCCCAGAACTGCTCGTGGGGCCTGAGCGGCGGTGGGCCTGGCTGCTCTGACCATCTCGCCGCACTCCATGTCTCGCATGGGGGTCCTCCTCCCGTCAGCATGATCTGCCTCTTCAGGATCCCCTCGTGGGAAACCATCAGGCTGTCCTGTCTCATGAGGTCGCAGCGCTGAGCGTCGATCGCCACATCGATGCTGAGGACCATGATGTGCACCTTCTCCGACATGACTTCGAACTTCGGCGCGGCCTCGAACTCATGTTGGATGTCCTGCTTGCGCCTGTGCCCGCAGAAGAGGTTGAGTACGTAGATCTCTGCCCTCTGTATCCTCCACGGTATCCTTACCTCCGTGGTGATGCCACTGTACTTGTCGGTGCGGAACTGGTTCAGGTCGTACCTCTCGTCGTGCAGCACTTCCTTCTTCTCCTGG